TCAGTACTTCACCGTTCGAGAAGTTACGTATTGCTAATAAATAAAATTTTCAAATTTTTTTTTTTTTTTTTTTTTTTTTTTTTTTTTTTTCTCGATAGTTATTTAATAGTTATAGTTTTTTTTATCTTGGATTTAAATTAAAGTTTCTTGAGAACAACTTAAGAGAATGATGCACTTGCTCTGAGGCTTGCTCAGAGTAAAAGCCTAATACTTTCTGTGAAATACTAACAAGATCCACTATATGGGGAACAACAGCGTGAATTTTTTGGTTAAACGATTTTCTTATTTTATTAGAAAAATTCAAATATAAGCTTCGTAATAATTGGTATCATATATTTTTCAAAACAGCTAGCTGCCACATAATTGAGCTGGCCACTACATTTGTTTAATCTAAAAAAAATAAACAAAAGGCTTAGTGTCCAAATAACAAGCCAAGCCAGTAAATAAAAGAGTTTTGTTTACAAGTAAGTACCAGGATCTAGTGCTTTAAGGACGTCAACTTTTTTAAGCAAGTTTCTGCCATTATTTCCATTAAATCTGCTGTCATGGTCTAATTGTATCCCCGGAACTTCTTAGCCAGCTTTCAGCAATTTCCGGAAAGTCCTTTTTTAGAGAAGCGTATATTTTTTGTACACTCCCATCTAAATAAATATATAGTTGATAATTGGAAGATTGTCATCACCAGTTATTAAAGGAATGTTGAATTTGCAAAAAATAACTATTAAAAAAGTCAATAAAGTAAACTTAGCAGTACACTTACTGTACTTTTTTGTTTCTTTTAAATTTCCACCTGTCTCCTCGTTCCATAATGTACTCCATTTGGAAATATCTTTTATGGATCTTAGTTCTCCCCTTGACTGTAAATTTTTTGAGTTAACATCACACCAGGCACATGAATGGCATGATGATGAAGATTGAAGGCCCAATATAATCATTATAGACTTTAGATCTGCGGCAAATGTGTAAGAACTGACTCCACAAATAGTATGAAGTTGCAAAATGTCAAACATTGCTCTGATATTTTTGTAGGTTTCTATTATTTTGGGAGCCAATCCTATTATAATAAGTTTGTTTATTCCGGTACTTTTATGTTTTTCTTGTTTTATTTCGGGATTTTCGTAACAACATAAAGACAGACAAATTTTTAAAAATCCACCTACACTATCTATGCCCAGTTTTAAATGGAAATCATCAGTAAGTTCACGTTTTTTAAACAAATGGTATTCCCACCTGGCCAGGCAGGCAAATTGGTCAAAAAAATCTCCTTAGGAGTGTTGCTTCCTACAACAGTAACCATGTTTAAAATTTATTTATTTACTTATAGCTAGTACCAAATTGTTTTCTTCCTTTTTAGACTAAATTCAGTGTGTGTTAAAGTTATTAATTGTACTTCCTTAATTGTTAGTTTGTAGTTTTACTTGTTTAATAATACTTATGATCATAAAGTAAAATTTTATCACTAAAATATTAAAAAAAAATTTTTTTTTTGCTTTTTCCGTTAGATTAAAGTCTATTTTTATTTAAATTTGTGCAGAGACCCGACCTCCTGGATTTAGAAACAGGGAGGGGGGTAAAAGTAAGCATACCTTTAGGTGATGATGATCGTTATTTATTATTAACAAAACTTTTTGCGCGCTATTTATTTTGGTTGAAAAAGTTTTTTTTTAAATTTGTATAGAGACCTGAATTGTACGTCGGTGATTTTAATTTTTATATTTTTTTGAAGCTAGTGGTATTGGCATTTAAAAAAAAAAGTACTCAAAGTTTATATATTTTTTTTCTTGACATCTTGGCCCAGGCTAACTGTGGGTAATAGATGTCATCTACAGAATCAAATCCCTCGAGTGACAATGGACAGGATACCTGGCAAGAAAGACGGACAACAAATGGACCACAAAAATTACAGCATACCCACGAGATATTAAGAGACCTAGAAGAAGACCGAACCTGAGATGAAACCATGATATAGGAAATTAGCGGGGATACCTTGAATAGCCAACAATAGATAACAAAAGCCCAGAGATTACCTAAATATATGAGGGAGGCTACACCACAATTGAAAATGGTTGAAAAAGCTGAAAATGAAGATGATAAAATTAATAAAAAATTATTTTGTTTGTCTACCATGGAAATTCAATTAATACGAGCGCATCCATGCAAATCAATATAACCAAAGCATAATTTTAGTGATTTTCCACAGTAGACAAATTATGAGGCCAAAGAGTATATTGTACTAAAGATACGATAATATGTTACCATAGAACTTTTCTTATATTGCCTATTGCATCATAATACAAGGATAATAAAAAACAAAAGACTTTCTAGCCTTTTTTATTTTTTTTTTCATTTATTGCTTAAAACATAAACTACAACATTTGACGTTTTTTCTTCAGGTTCAACTATATTTCCATTGTCAAGAATGTATGCGTTTTTTCCTTTAAAACATTTGTTTCTTAAACGAAGAATTTTATATGTATTCAATACTTACCTAATTTTATTTCATGATCTCCTTCTGATAAATCGGGCATGGATAAACAAACTTCTTTACTATTTAATTTATTAATATTTACACCTCCAATTCCACTTGGCATTTCTATAGATTTAGGGCTATCGACGAACAATGCTCCAATTTGTTCGCTGCTCTCTTTCAAAAATTTGTCAATTGTTTCGCTGCCGCTATACAAATTTTCATTGCACGTGTAAATATTAAAATCCATGTTTTCAATAGTTTTTTGTAAATCCATACATTTCTGATTTGTATCAAAATCTTCGTCACTGATTTTATTCTTAAAATAAAAATATATACTCTAACTATAATATTTAACTATTTAGCTTTTTTAATATTAACATGATGTAAAAAATTTCTAAAGAATAAAGATTAATTTGAGAATTTCATCATGATGGAAACTACCCTAAAAAGTGGTTTTTAAATATACCGGGTGCGTCTCAAAAGTGGCTCACAATAAAACAACGCGATTTGGTATGTTAGTATATGACATAAATTGGGATTTATTGACGTATGACGTATTCAATTGTTTTCGGTCACTTCCGGAAATGACCACAACTTTTGATTTTTAAATGGCACCATCGGTATTTTTTTTACTTAATTCGATAGAAAATAACACTCTGAATCGAATGACATATCATATGTCAATTTTTGACATAGTCAGTCAAAAACAAATTCTATTTTAAATTTCAATCTAGAGTGCCATGGCTGTGTTAAAAACACTAATTTTTAATCAAGGAGCCTTGGAAAAATAGATTTGATCGTCTAATGTTTTCAGTGTCTTGTCCTGGCCGGTTAAAAGATGCCCAAATCGTATTTTGAATCATATCTCAATTTTTTCAAATGGAACGAGGGGGGCTCATTAGCATATTTGGGAAAAGCATTTTTTTACGAATAATTTGATACCACACATTTGGTATTTTGAGTCAAATTGTCGTTATGAACCGCATGTTACAATTTCAAATAAACCAAATGCAAATATGTCAAAAGTTGACATATTGTAATGAAGTTCATAAAATTTCTAGGACACCCTGTATATTGTGTTAATATTATACTAGAATAATAGGGACTTTATTTTCTTTTAATAGTGACAGTCAATGTATTTTATTGTTAACTCATTATTGTAATGAACTTCATTAGTGTTTCTATTGTTGAATTAAATAAGTTAAATATTTAATTGCCATTTTGTAAGAGAGTTTTGATCGGTTTTGGTCCCTGTGGTTCGGTGCGAGAAACCGAACCGTTTGCGTCGCTCTGCTGGTGCAGGCCGAGTGGAGGGGAGCGTCAGTCGAGTACCTTGGCTGCAGCAGCTCCAGATAGACAGTTTGTGGTCGCACGTGAAACAGTGAGGTTCGAGTCCGGAGTGCCCTGCCAAGTGTCCTGCTGCCAGTCGCCGCACTGTATAAGGTAAGCACCCACCGCCAAAGTGATCGAGAGTAGGTCGTATTCTTTTATTGTTAATGACGTTTACTTTACTGCCTTAACGCGTTACCGGGATAAGGGAGACAGAGATATGTATATTCGCTCAGATAGGCGCAACTATGCACTTCTACGGCGGCTGGAGGCTATTTGAACGAATCGCGCGAGCGCAAAGACATAGCAAAACTTATATGCGATCAGGTAGATCACACTGTGCACCTCTACGGAGGCTGGGGGATATTTGATCGGATCACGTGGACGCGAGGAACGATTTCTTTTGTTAAAAGGGAGAGAGTGAGACAGCTAACGGTTAAGGTAGTTCAGTAAACGCCCGGGTCGCGAATATTCAAGGAGCTAGAACAAGATCTCGCCCAAATCCCGAGGCTGGTTTTGTAGCTCCCGTATTTTCTAGTTGTGTCGTCCGGACGGCATCCTGCATCAGTGACGCTGGACGGGATCTCGCCGAAATCCCGAGGTTGTCCTGACCGGGCGGTGTGTGTGCGGACTGCACTTATAGTAACGACGTACAACTCGCCTAGACGTCGCTAACGTCTACGTCACTCCGGGACTCGCGGGACGCTGTTAATTTCGCGATCGATCCAGGGCTCGCGTTTGTGTCCCACAGGACGCTGTTAACTTCGCGATCGATCCAGGGCTTGCGTTTGTATATCCCACAGGACGCTGTTAACTTCGCGATCGATCCAGGGCTTGCGTTAGTATATCCCACAGGACGCTGTTAACTTCGCGATCGATCCAGGGGTTGCGTTAGTATATTCCACAGGACGCTGTTAACTTCGCGATCGATCCAGGGCTTGCGTTAGTATATCCCACAGGACGCTGTTAACTTCGCGATCGATCCAGGGCTTGCGTTAGTATATCCCACAGGACGCTGTTACTTCGCGATCGATCCAGGGCTTGCGTTAGTATATCCCACAGGACACTGTTAACATCGCGATCGATCCAGGGCTTGCGTTAGTATATCCCACAGGACGCTGTTAACTTCGCGATCGATCCAGGGCTTGCGTTAGTATATCCCACAGGACGCTGTTAACTTCGCGATCGATCCAGGGCTTGCGTTAGTATATCCCACAGGACGCTGTTAACTTCGCGATCGATCCAGGGCTTGCGTTAGTATATCCCACAGGACGCTGTTAACTTCGCGATCGATCCAGGGCTTGCGTTAGTATATTCCACAGGACGCTGTTAACTTCGCGATCGATCCAGGGCTTGCGTTAGTATATCCCACAGGACGCTGTTAACTTCGCGATCGATCCAGGGCTTGCGTTAGTATATCCCACAGGACGCTGTTAACTTCGCGATCGATCCAGGGCTTGCGTTAGTATATCCCACAGGACGCTGTTAACTTCGCGATCGATCCAGGGCTCGCGTTAGTATATCCCACAGGACGCTGTTAATTTCGCGATTGATCCAGGACTCGCGTTTGTGTATCACGGGACGCTTTTAACTTCGACGCCGATCCGAGGTCCGTGTTTCGTTGTCAAAACGGACGCCGTTCCGAGAAATATTTAGCTGTGACCATTGGGACGCCTGTAACGACGTCGCCGCCGTTTAGAGAGTCGCGTCGTAGTAGAGTGTGTTGCCTCGGTACTTACGTGTCTGTGTTCATTAGGACGCCGCTAAATGCGACGCCGATCAGGAACTCGCGTCGTTTTATTTAATAGAACGTCATTTCGGGAACGCGTTTTGAATTCACGGGATAGAATCAGTCAGAGAGTTACGTATCGGGAATAATCGATCAAAACTCTAGAGGTACACGGTTGTTATTGTAAATTTTACTTTACGCGTCTTTAAATATACATTTTATTTCACTATTGTTGCGATTCGAGGACGTGAACCTTCCTGGATTATTTTTGTACATAATTAATTAGTTAAATAAAAACCTAGTGTTACGTTATACTTAATTGTGTGTTTTATTTTCTTTTCATCTCATCACTCCCTGGTATCTCCACTGTATAAAAGCTACCCGTACTGGCACTAGTGGTCTCTCAAACACTTTAAACGTTGGGGGTGGCGCCCAAGGAACCGAACCAAGGCAACTCGGCGTCCGTGACCTCTCTCAAAAACGGGGGAGCGTCACTATATGATTCGTCATTCGATTCAGAGTGTCATTTTCTATCGAATAAAGTAAAAAAATACCGCGGGTGCCATTGAAAAATCAAAAGTTGTAGTCATTTCCGGTGAAACCGGAAGTGGCCGAAAACAATTGAGTACGTCTCAACCCCAATTTATGTCAAATACTAACATACCAAATATCGTTGGTTTATATAACAAAATAAAAAAGTTATAGGGGTGGGCCACTTTTGAGACGCACCCGGTATAGTATGGTATGACAAATTTCAACATAAATTAATTACATATACGGTTTTTCAATAAATAATATTTTAGTCCATTAACTAATATCTATTAACTAAATCATTTTGAAAACAGGTACTAACTGTCACTAGTAAATTGTCGTGGCGACATCAGCCACCTTAGCTGTCTTTTTATTGAAAATCTCTTTTTATTCAAAATCTGAGCCAGATAGGTATAGGAAACCCTAATATATTTTGAAAGTGCGTTTAAAGGTTGATTCTCACTATACCTTCCGTTTCTATTCCATATCCGTTCCGTATTTTTTATTGTAATTGACACTACACGTTAGCTTCCATTCCGTATCAGTTCATAATTATATCATTACGAAAGTTTTATTTAAAAAAATTGTATCTTTTGAAAAAGATAATAGATTTAATTGAGTGGTAAAAGAATAAATAAATATCAACAAAATGTTAACAGAGCTGGTACAAATCTAAGAACTTGACAACGCTTTTCCGATACGCTTCAGTCCGTCCGCCAAAAAATGTATGGAAGGAAAGAATATGGAAAGGAAGAGAAACGGAACGGATAGTAGTGTGCATTGTCCTATTCATTTACATGATATAATATTGTATGTAAACGGAAGGGAAACGGAAGGTATAGTGAGAATAAACCTTAAATCTCCTTTGATTAATTTAAAAAAATACAGGGTGTTACATTTGAAATAACAAAATAAATATTTAAAATAGAGCAGGCATTTTCGATACTGTATACATTTAAGGAAGCAATCAAGTCTTTCAGTAAAGATTATTTCTCTAGCTTAAAACAGCACAAGAATTAATTCTGAAAAGTAATGTCCATGGTGTTGACAATGTTTATTATTATAGCTTGCATATTTAAATATCTTTAAATATCTCAAAAAAAAGCTTTTAAACATGTTTAACCATTATAATAAATGCTTTTTTTAGGTCCAAGAATACAAAAATGAAATAAAATACCGGGTGTTCCATAAGAAAAAATATAACTTTGGTATGTATATTAGTTCTGAAACACCATTGAATATTTCAAAATAATTTTAAATTGTGCACATTACTTTCCCACATATGCGGTATACTCGTGAAAAATTGTTTCTACATCTTTCCATTTTTGTATAATCAACCGAGGCGAATGAAGTGCGCCACCCTGTATATACATTCTTACGCATTCGAACAGTATACAGCGAAGTCTTTAGAATAGCAAAGTATATATCATATTGATTACTTTAGTATATAGACCTAGGACCATCAATATGCTAGAAGAGAGACGGGTAGGAAGAACTGCGCTTCAACTGCTATATACAGGGTGGTCCGAATTGTAATCGGTAAACTTTGGCAACATATTCTGCAAAGAAAGATTGGAAAAAGATAAAATGCTTCGTTTTGGAGGTACAGGGTGAGAAAGTTTCATTTTTATTTCGATTGTTTCTAAATAATTTCTGAACTAGCGTCCATATTTAGATGAAAATTGGTGTCTGGGTGTTTATTGACATGAGAAATTTGGATTTTTTGATGCCTGTATTAGAACCAAAATTATTATTTTGGTCCGCCCCCGGGTAGAGGCGTACTTACATGTTTTTTAACTGTTTTGAAGAGTAATAACTTTTCGTCGCTACCTGCATTACACCACTGAATAAAAAAAATATACATTTCCATCGTTTTTTTACTTAAAGAGCAAGCCTCACGTCTCTTAGTAAAAATCGCTACTTGTACCGGTTCTCAAGATACATATTTGGAATCGAAATAATCACTACATGACATCAATGACAAAAAATAAACATGTTGACTAGGGTTTCCAAACCAGGATCCCGATGTATGTTTATCCCGAACTCCCGATATTAAATCCAGGGATCCCGAAAATCTCGAAAAATGTAAATGTCCAATCTAAAATGATTCGACTTTATTACTTATTTCACTTTAGTCTTTCAAGGATCATATTTTATTTATACTAAGCCGAACGTCAATATTTAAAAGTTATATTTCCGTGTTTGCTATATTTTATTTTTTTTGCATAACAGGAATAGTATTTTTTACTTACTAAATATGAATTTTACTTTGTTTTGTGTATTCTTTTCTAATTTTCTTTTTTGATATATGTAGCTGTATTTTTATTAAGTATTTCTTTAGATTAAATTTCTCATTCTGATAGTCAATCTCGGGATCCCGTGATCCCGGGATTATAGGTTCTAGTTCCGGGATTTCAAAACGGGATCCCGATCCCAATCCCGAAAATCGGAAACCCTAATAATAACTAATTAACTAGATAATTAATTATGTAGAAAAAAAATCGTAAGTATTGGAAAGGCTCAAATGAAACAATTATATTAGGTCCAACGTTTCGCGACTTTATTGCCGCTTCTTCAGGCACTAAAACGTTTAGTATTACTTAGTAGTATTTTTAGGAACCTCATATTGACATCGAAATCAAATTTCTCATGTCAAAAAACAACCAGAAACCAATTTTCATCCAAATATCGACGTTAATTCAAAAATTATTTGGAAAAAATCGAGATAAAAATGAAACTTTTAAACCTTGTTTCTCGAAGGAAGCACTGTACGAATTTAATTAAATACGAACTTTTTTACTTATTTTTATTTGGTGAATATGCTGCCAAAGTTTTCCGAATACAATTCGGACCACCCTGTATAATACGTTAGAGTGGAAAATAACGAGTATACTCATTTAAGCCTGAATAGAACCTTCGACTATTGGCACTTGGCACGGTAAGTGAGATTCTATGTAACGTCTACACTATCAGCTATCCTCATTCGATTAAATGTTAATAAAAAAAGAATGGAAAAAACACTTACCTTTCTCTTCTTGTCTATCTTAACTTTTTTAGCGCTTAATTCCAAACATATATTTTTGTATTCTTCTGGATGTTTTTGCCTAATATGGCGCTGAAGCGATCTTTTTAATTTTACTTTATTGTGACAAATTGGACACTCGTGAACTAACGTCTCGCCTGTGTGAAATTTATCTGGACTTGCATGAAACTGTTTGTTGTGACGTTGCAAATTGTTTTTATACATAAATGAAGCACCGCAGTGGCATTTAAATCCAATTTGATTGTGAGCGGACTTGTGCACGTTCAATGTTTTCTGATTTTTAAACTGTTTTCCGCATTCGGAGCAATTAAACATCTAAAATTATTTGAAACGTTTAGAAATCTAAGAAATATTTATGGGTACAAATTAGCAAATTACAGATGAATAATTAATAATAAAGCTAGATGAAAAAAATACGTTAATGATAACGGGTGCGTCTCGAAAGTGGCTCACCCCTATAACTTTTTTATTTTTTTCAGGTAAAAAAACGAGATTTGGTATGTTGGCATATGACATAAATTAGGATTAATTGACGTACTCAAGTGTTTTTGGTCACTTCCTGCTTCACCGGAAGTGACTACAACTTTTGATTTTTAAATGTCGGTATATTTCTACTTTATTCGATAGAAAATGACACCCTGAGTAGATTGACATATCATATGTCAACTTTCGACATTTTCGTTCAATTTTCTCATCTCTTTTTTTCAATCTAGAGTGCGATAGATGTGTTAAAAACACTAACTTTTAATCAAGGAGCCTTGGAAAAATAGACCCAAGTGTTTTTGGCCACTTCCTGTTTCACCGGAAATGACTACAACTTTTGATTTTTAAATAGCACCCGCAGTATATTTCTACTTTATTCTATAGAAAATGACACCCTGAGTAGATCGATATATCATGTCAACATTCGATATTTTCGTTAAAAAAATATCGTATTTTAAATTTCAATCTAAAGTGCGATGGCTGTGTTAAAAACACTAATTTTTAATCAAGGAGCCCTGGAAAAATAGATTTGATCGTCTAATGTTTTTCGTGTCATATCCTGGCCGGTTAAAAGATGCCCAAATCGTATTTTTAATCATATCTCAATTTTTTCTAATGGAATAAGGTTGGCTCATTTGCATATTTGGAAAAAGCATTTTTTACGAATAATTTGGTACTGCACACTTGGTATTTCAAGTGAAATTGTCGTTATAAACCGCATTTTCAAATAAACCATATGCGAAAATGTCAAAAGTTGTTAGAGTGTCATTTTCTATTGAATAAAGTAGAAATATAACAAGGGTGCCATTTAAAAATCAAAAGGTGTAGTAATTTTCCGTGAAACAGGAAGTGATAAAAAAATTGAATATGTCAATTAATCCAAATTTATGTCATATACTAACATACCAAATATCGTCTTTTCACCTGAAAAAATATAAAAAGTTATAAGGGTGACATTTTGAGACGCACCCGGTATAATTATTTTACATCTGAAAATCATTAAGGAAGATATCGATAATATAAGATACAGAACATAATTTGAAAATAAAAACGATTTTGGCGAAAATAATCTGTTACTCGGAATTTAGGCAGAGTGCAAACTAACTATTAAATATAAACTTCTTCCTGGATCACGTTTACCTTGTGTTTTGGTGTTACCGCGGATATTGAAGACTACTATATGAAACAGAGGCTATTAGATATTCACAAGACAGAAATAATATTGAGCTAGCCAATAATCTCGCTACTGATGAAAGCTCGTTACGACCTTACGAGCTAGCTTGAAGCCAAAAGGATTCTCATAGATTAAAGGTACGTATCCATGGTCTCAAGACGCATCTGCAGACTGTCTAGTAAGTTTGGGGAAGTAAACCCACAGATCAGAGGGTCATGTGGACCTTTTCAATGGAACAAATTTCAAGAGAAGAGCTCCAAAACAATTAAAGTCTCTCCTTCCTATGGGGTGGAAAACTTAACTTTCCGACCTACACAAGGAAAAGACAACACATTGTAGAAGATGTCAGAAGCAACTGCCTGTGATCTAGAAGCAAGCCCTATCTATGGAGATTCAGGGAGAGGAACATATGGAACCAGCCCGCTCAAAAGGAAAGTCGCTCAAATAGAATAGATTGTTTACTAATACCGGTGCCACCCATCACGTTGTTACAGGTATTCTAACTATAGTCACAGATGAAGGCGAAAAGAGAATAGTGATATACTCATTGCCCAGCCTTCTCTGGCGATGAAGTTCAAGTCCACCTACGTTAATAAGCGACATTATTGCACCTTGCTAGGGAAAAGGAATACAGCTCATCATACGATTCTAACACACACCATACCATATAGAGGGTGTCCCAGGCTGAGCGTGCATTAGAAGTTTCTAGAGAACTACAATATCTAGATCAGAGATTTTTTGCACATCACTGCTGCACAACGAGATCTATCGATTAAAAATATTTTCAATATGGCCGCACTTCCGGAAATACCGGAAGTTGACAGCAACTTTCTTATTTTAGGTGAGTACACACATTTTTATTACATACTTAAATTCTCGGTAAAATTTAATGAATTTTGATATCAAACACCCTATACCTAAGATTAACTGTTTTTGAGAAAAAACATATTTAAAATTTTTGGAGGGAAAAAACTACCTGTCAAAAAATGTTTTATAGCCTAAACAACAAATTTAGTGATTATCACAGCCACTGTGGCATAAAGAGAAGACATGTGCCTATCTATTTCAAAAATTAAATTGTTCGAATGTCCTATAATATTGGCCGTAGCTGTCATGAAATTGAGCGATTAATAAATTATCATAAATCATTTTTTTCAAATGGAAACCCACTTTTTTCATTTCACTGCTGAAGAGGTTTTTTAATTCGTTACTTTTTGATAATACATGTTCCTATACCTAAAATAACTCGTTTTTAAGTTATTTCAGATTTAGTTTTAAAGGGGTATATTTTTTTTGTTTTTTAACCAGTAGAGCTTATGACTTTAAACGTCACGCGATGTAAAACTATATCTGGCCATGTCATATTGCCATTAGCTCTCACTAAAATAGGCGATATATTTTTATAAATACACTTTATAAAGTTTTACCAGCAGTATTTATATGGTTTCTTTCTGATGGTTTGACACTTAATGTCAAAAAAAGCTAGATAAAATCAAGAAAAAAATACTCTTTAATACTAAATCTCAAATAACTTAAAAACGATTTATTTTAGGTATAAGAACATGTATAATCAAAAAGTAACGAATTGAAAAACATTTTCACCATTGAAATAAAACAGGGAGTTTCTATTTGAAAAAAAATATTTATTATAATTTTTTAATTGCTCAATTCCATCACAGCTATGGTTAATATTTTACGACAAACGAACAATTTAAATTTTAAAATAGATAGCCACATGTCTTCTCTTTATGCCACAGTGGCTGTGGTAATCAATAAATTTGTCGTTTAGGCTAACCGATTTTTTTCACAAGCAGTTTTTTCCCTCCAAAAATTTTAAATATTTTTTTTTTCTCAAAAACGGTTAATATTAGATATAGAGAACACTCTATATCTAATATTAACCGTTTTTACAATATAGAAAAAATAACAATAGAGATATCAAAATTCATAAAATTTTACAGAGAATTTAAGTGTGTAATAAAAAATTGGGGTATCCATTTAAAATAAGAAAGTTGCTGTCAACTTCCGGTATTTCCGCCATATTGTGATTATATTGCCATATTGAAAATATTTTTAATCGATAGATCTCGTTCTGAAACAGTAATGTGCAAAAAATCTCCGAGTTAGATGTTGTAGTTCTCTATAAACTTCTAATGCACGCTCAGCCTGGTACACCCTGTAGAGCAACACAAACATCAACACAAGATGTGAGTCCATTTTAAGTTTCATCTTATCTGAGGATCTCCTAATATCCACTATATTAGATTAGCCAAAGAATATAAAGTTTCCAGTTGTTTTTATCAAACTTTTAAACTGGAACTGATATAAAAATGACTAGCTACCTCGCATTATCCTTCAAAGATTATTTTCGCAATCGCAGTGAATTACTCTTCCTTCTGGTTCATCTTTAAAATCCAATACAAAAATACTGATAGAAAAGGGCAAGGTAGCATTAAATATCTAATACATTATAGAATTTTAAGAGTCTATAATTAATTATAACATAATTTTAATGAAAGACTCTCTCACTTACCTCTCCTATCCCAATCCTATGAATATTCATTATATGATTTTTTAAAATGTCACCTCTACCAAACGACTTGTCACAAATTCGACAATTGTATAATCGAAGTTTCTCGTGAATAGTTGTTAAATGTCTATTATATGCACACCTTGAACTAAATGTTTCGCTACATTCTGAACATATATATTTCTGTAATTTATTTTCTGGTTGATTTTTATTTACCATATGTAATTTTAAATGTCTAGCTAAGTAAGATTGTTTAAGGTATGCCTTTGAGCATTGACTACACTTATATTTAAATCTTTTTTCCTCTGGTATATTGCGACAAAGATGATTTTTTAAATCGTGTAAAGAATACGAAACTTTATGACAATCCTTACAAGAAAATCGTTTTTCATGAACTATAGCGACATGCCGAATTAAATATTTCCTTTGGTAAAATATCTTATCACACTTGGGACATTTTAACGAATACATATAGTTACATTTGTGAAATTTCAGATTCTCCCGTCTGCCAAATACCTGAAAAGAAATAAAATTTCCTATTACATGATGGAGACATACGATCCCAATAATTTTTTTCAGGACATTAATATTACAGTAATTGCATACAAATTAAAAACATGTCTTTTCAATTATTAATGAGGAACTTAAGAACAAAATATAATTTATAAATAGATATATTTTGATTTGATATAAAAACTGTGATATAATATTTTTTGGATTAAGACCTCTCCACACTTAATAACGTCTACTTACGTAACTTGTTACTGTTAAGCCGCGTCCAAGCTACTCGAACAAAACGTTCGCGAACATATATAATTCACACTATATACTCGTAGCAGCAGGTCGTAAACGACGGCACAGCCCATCGCATCGGTCCCGAGGACTGAGGTGCGGGGAAGAATGCGACAACCAGTTTGCTCTATAGATCTAGGATGAGTTTAGGTAGTCGCTGTTTTTTCGAGTGCCCGGATTGTGAGTGCAAGCATTTTATTAAATAAATTAACCGGTAAACAGTTTAAGAACTTTTGTCGTTGAAGAATCAATATTTAACAGGCGGAAGGTTACAGGGGCCTTTTGGTAGATTATTCGTTATAGTGTATTTTTAAGACCTGTATTCATTTTCAGCCTATTCTACCAGGTGTTTCTCAAAAGGGGCTCACTTTTTTACTTTTTTATTTTTTCAGATAATACAACGAAATTTTGTTTGTTAGTATATGACATAAATCGGGATTGATTGACGTATTCAATTACCTTCGATCGCTTCCTGTTTCACCGGAAATGACTACAACTTTGTATTTTTAGATCGTATCCTAAGTACTTTTTTACTTTATTTGATAGGAAATGAAATTCTGAATAGAATGACATACCATACGTCAATTTTAGACAATTCCAATTAAATAAAAATAGCATTTTAAATTTCAATCTAGAGTGCCAAGACTGAGTTAAAACTATTAATTTGTAATCAAAGAACTTTGGAAACATATATATTTGATCGTGTAATTTTTTTTGTATCCTTTCATGGCCGCTTAAAAGATGCCCAAATCGTATTTTTAATGATAACTCAAATTTTTCAAAGGCTAGCTCAGCATATTTGGAAAAAGCATTTTTTACGAATAATTTGGTACCACATACTTGGTATTTGGAGTAAAATTGTCGTTACGTTTATTTATGGCCATAAAAAAAATGTCAAAAGTTGACATATAATATATCATTCTATTTAGAATGTCATTTTCAATCATATATCATAGGTAAAAAAATACCGAGGCGTCATTTAAATCAAAAGTTGTTGTCATTTCCGGTGGAATAAGTAGTGACCGAAAATAAATGAAAACGTCGATCAATCCTGATTTATGTCCTATACTAACATACCAAATCTCGTTTTTCATCTAAAAAATTAAAAAAGTTATAGAAGTGAACCACTTTTCAGAAACACCCGGTATATTTATTTCTAAAAATGTAATGGTAAAATTTCATTTCCGGTGTCCAACTTCCTATTAAGTAGTAATTTTTAATTTCAGAATCCCATAATAATTCCGGTTTTTGATAAAAATAATCATGAAGGTCTTTATGAACAAAAATGAAATTATATGGACGAAGTCTAGCTACATAGCTATTCACACTCAACCCACAATAAAATTAAAATTATAAAATCTTTTCTTTGTGTAAACAAATTAGTTGTAAATGTTTTTCACGATCCCAGTAATTGCGTCTCCCATTATCGAATACTCGGTAAAAAATAAAAATCACAGATGGACGCCCGAAATTAAATGAGACCCTTCCAAGTGTCCGGTACAATGTCCGCCGAAATGCACGCCGTTCGCTCCTTTTGATTTACCGACACCCGTCGGAAAAAAAAAGCGCGCGCTCTAGCATAGGCAGACGCACGCTCTGGCGTACAAACTAGCCGTTCGCCGCTCCGCGCTCCTTAATAGGCCTAGGCTAGCTGTACTTGTTGGCTTTATTATTTATAAATCTACCTATCTCACAATTTTCACTTAATATCTGTTTAATTATATATGTTCGCGAACATTTTGTTCGAGTAGCTTGGACGCGGCTTTACATGTTTACTAAACTTCTTGAGAACTTTTAATTCAAAATATCAGTTAGTGATGGGTTGTTATTTAACTCTGTTATTTTATAACAATTATTTAGAAATAACATAACGCAACCGTTACTACTTTTAAAAAGAACAGATATAAAATAACGACACGCAGAGATCGACCTTCGTGAAACGAAGGCGGCGCTCTGTACCGCCACGAAATTCGATGCTGCTCGAAGCAATTCCAAAAAACAACTAGTATGGATGGAAAACATGTTATTTCGACAACCATTGATACAGGCGGCGAGATACAACGGACAACGGAGTGGGGTATGCGCTACAGTGCGGCGCGGCGAACGTAGCTGCATCGGTCGATGTCGATGGTCGTGTTGGGCTTGCAACAGCTTAAAAATAATCTATATATATATATATATATATATATAAATCTGACTGTCCTGACTGATACTGACTCATCAACGCCCAGACCAAACCCTTGACCCTAGAAAGCTGAAATTTTGCACAGGGGTTCCTTTTATGATGTTTACGTAAGATAAGAAAGGATTTTTTAAAATTCATCCCCTAAGGGGGTAAAAAGGGGGGTGGAATATTACAATATTTTTTATTTAAAACGGTCAAGTTTCCGAAAAACGCTTAAACATATTTTATTTTCTTCTTTTACATATTTTAAGATTTTTAAAATGTATACAGGGTGTTTCGAAAATTGATTAATTGTCATTGATTAATCACGATCCTGCTTAAAGCGCTTGACGTAAAAAGCTACTTGAAAACGGATTGGACTTTAGGTGTAGAGGTTCGATAAGAAGGGATTTTTCGGAAACTGACTTGGCGCGGAAACTGCCCTTCAACATTAGAATATTTTTTATTTAAAACGGTCAAGTTTCCGAAAAACGCTTGAACAGGTATATTTTATTTTCTTTTTTACATATTTTAATATTTTTAAAAATGTATACAGGGTGTTTCTGAAAAAATCTGTCACATTAATCACGATCCTGCTTAAAGCTTTTGACGTAAAAAGCGATTTTTGGAAACTTGACTTTTAGGTGTAGAGGTTCGGATAAGAAGGATTTTTCGAAACTCGAATTCTAAGGAGGTGAAACCGCCCCTCAAAATTAGAATATTTTATTTAAAAACGGTCAAGTTTCCGAAAAGCTAAACACGTATATTTTATTTTGTTTTTTTACATATTTTGAGATTTTTTAAAAATGTATACAGGGTGTTTCGCAAAAACCGGTAATTGATTAATCACGATCCTGCTTAAAGCGCTTGACGTAAAAAGCTGATTTTTGGAAAACAGTTTGACTTGAGGGTGTAGAGGTTCGATAAGAAAGGATTTTTCGAAACTCGAATTCTAAGGGGGTGAAACTATCCCTCAAATATTAAAATATTTTTTTATTTAAAAACCGGTGAGTTTTTCGGAAAAACCCTTAAACACGTTTATTTTATTTTGTTGTTTTACATATTTTAAGAGTTTTTATAAATTTATATATGGTGTTTCATAAAATATGACCATTGAGTAATCACGATTCTGCTTAAACTGCTTGACGTTTAAAGCTGATTTTTGGCAAACGGATTGACTGTGGGGTATAGAGGTTCAATAAGAAGGGATTTTTCGAAACTCCAATTCTAAGGGGGTGAAACTACCCCTCAAATATTAGAATATTTTTTATTTAAAAACCGGTGAGTTTTTCGGAAAAACTCTTAAACACGTATATTTTGTTTTGTTGTTTTACATATTTTAAGATTTTTTAAAATGTATACAGGTGTTTCGAAAATTGATTAATTGGTCATTGATTAATCACGATCCTGCTAAAGCGCTTGACGTAAAAGCTAATTTTTGGAAACGGATTGACTTTAGGTGTAGAGGTTCGATAGGAAGGGATTTTCTGAAACTCGAATTTTAGGGGGTGAAACCGCCCTCAAAGAATATTTTATTTAAAAACGGTCAAGTTTCCGAAAAACGCTTAAACACGTATATTTTATTTTCTTCTTTACATATTTTAAGATTTTAAAATGTATACAGGGTGTTTCTGAAAATTGATTAATTGGTCATTGATTAATCACGATCCCGCTTAAAGCGCTTGACGTAAAAAAGCTGATTTTTGGAAAACGGATTGACTTTAGGTGTAGAGGTTCGATAAGCAGTGGATTTTTCGAACTTAAATTCTTTTTAGGGGTGAAACCGCTCCTCAAATATTGTATAGAATATTTTTTATTTAAAAACGGTCAAGTTTCCGAAAAACGCTTAAACACGTATATTTTATTTTCTTCTTGCTATTTTAAGATTTTTGGCCAGGGTGTTTCGGAAAAATTGATTAATTGGTCATTGATTAATCACGATCCTGCTTAAAGCGCTTGACGTAAAAGCTGATTTTTGGAAAACGGATTGACTTTAGGGTGTAGAGGTTCGATAGGAAGGGATTTTCGAAACTCGAATTCTTAGGGGGTGAAACTGCCCTCAAATATTAGAATATTTTTATTTAAAAACGGTCAAGTTTCCGAAAAACGCTTGCAAACACGTATATTTTATTTTCTTCTTTACATATTTACATTTTAAAATGTATACAGGGTGTTTCTGAAAATTACTAATTGGTCATTGATTAATCACGATCCTGCCGGAAAGCGCTTGACGTAAAAAAGCTGATTTTTGGAGTGGATTGACTTTAGGGTGTAGAGGTTCGATAAGAAGGATTTTTCGAAACTCGAATTTTAGGGGTGAAACCGCTCCTCAAATATTAGAATATTTTTATTTAAAAACGGTCAAGTTTCCGGAAAAACGCTTAAACACGTATATTTTATTTTCTTTACATATTTTAAGATTTTTAAAAATGTATAGGGTGTTTCTGGAAAATTGATTAATTGGTCATTGATTAATCACGATCCTGCTTAAAGCGCTTGACGTAAAAAAGTTGATTTTGAAACGGATTGACTTTAGGGGTGGAGGTTCGATAAGAAGGGA